CTGGTGGAACCGACCTTCGAATCTCTTCACCCAACACTTCTACTCGAAATGGAAGTAATTCCAACAATAAATCAATTTACTTTAATTTAAAGTTATATCTTTTCATTTATTATTTTAAATATATTCCACTGGAATACATCTTGAATGAAATCATTAAATATTTCTAAACTGATGTAATCTTAATTTAAAGATTTCAACTTAACAGACCCAATATATATATCTACTTAGAATGCAATTAAATAAATACAAAAGTTTTAAATCTCTAATTGAGTGTAAGTAATTGCGTGTAATTGAGTGTAATTGATTTAAGGACAAAATAATTCGTGTAATTAAATACATTCAGATGCATTTTAAGCTGTTTCTTGCCTGATTCAATTTTATATAAATCAATTAATATGAAATAACCTGTTTTATCTCAATCAGTTTAAACTAATTTCCACAAATTTGCCTCAATTCCTTGTTTGCTTTTAGTTACATTAAACTGTTTACATTCTTACTTATATCTCGATCTGATTCTCGTTTATATTATGTGTTTATCATTTTACATCAATTGTTGATAAAGTTGAAAAGATGACACTTCAAATAGCTGCAAAATTTCTTACAAATCTATCATAGATAATCCTTGATTAAAATTCTTTTTTGTCTAAACTAAATTGTTTTTCCAAGGACTTTAATTCATCTAAACTTTGTTCTATTTCATCCCATTTGATTGCATAAAGCAACTTAAATTCATTATTAGTGGGTACTTCTTCCACAAAATCAGCTTATGATAAGAGAGTAAACATGTAGACTGATTAGTCACTACAGGCAAAATAGGGATACTTTCACAGAGCTGAACGATTACAAGTAGTTGATAAAGGACAACTCATCAAAGTATTGGCACAACTATCTTTAGGGACTTTGGAATGCTATAAGAAAAAAATGAGTCAAAATGGATAGTTTGGAAGTGAGAACAAAAGTTGTTTATTTTTCCTCGTAAATACTGTAACAGAATGGGAAAATATTTAATTTTAATACTTGTGTTAAGTTGTGACAAATATAAACTGAATGAAATGGTCAACGGTTGTGAAACTCAATTCCAGAAGATATCTTTATAACTTTGTGTATAGAAAAAGTGGTATATTCACATATACACC